CAGGAATGCATGGAGCTCTGTGTCTTGGTATGGATCTGGAGTCAGTCAAGAGCTTAAATGTCAAGATAAGTGGACAGACCAAGATGAGTGCTCTTGCAGTGGGTAGACTGCCGTACACCCTGTAGATCAGGTAGAAGTAGATGAGGTCTTCTTCAAACACCCAGAAGAAGCCTCACTTTCGCAGGTCCTGGTCTTCATGGGGGCTTTAACCACCCTGCTATCCACTGGAAGGACAAGACAGCAGGGCTCAAGCAATCCAGGAGATCTGAGTGCATTGATCACGAATTCCTGACACAGGTGATCTAGCTGCCAATAAGGACGGTGCTTTCCTGGACCCGACACTTACAAACAAGGAAGGACTATTCAGGGATGTGGAAGTCACAGAGGCAGCACTGGCTGCAGTAACCATGAGATGGTGGAGTTGAAGATCCAAAGAGGAGGGACCAGGCCAAAAAGCAGGACCACAGACCTGGATTTCAGGAGAGCAGAATTTGGACTCTTGGAAGAGTTCCATGGGATACAACCCAGGAGGTCAAGGAGAGCTGGCTGATACTCAAGGATTCTACAAGCTCAAGAAAGATCCACCCCAATAAGTAAGAAAGGAAGCACAGGCTGCAGAAGGCCTGCATGGATGAGCAAGGAGCTCCTAAATGAACTCAAGATATAAACAGGTGGTGTACAAGAGTTGGAAGCAGGACGGGTGACCTGAGAGTAGAGAGTTGCTACCTAATCTTGTATGTAAGGTGTTAAGAAAGCCAAAGCCAATCTGGAGTTGAATCTGGCAAGGGATGTGAAGGGCATCAAGAAGGAAAAGAGGACAACTAGGGAAATCATGGGCCCACTGCTGAATGGGGGAAGGGACATGTTGACAAATGACATCTAAAAGGCCACATCCCTTAGGAACCCCAGACCCCTGAGACCAAAGGGAAAGTCTGGAGCAAGGAAGACTTATGCTTGCTGGAGGGCCACTAGGTTTAGGGAGCACTTAAAAAAACCTTGACGTACATAAGCCCATGGGGCCTGATGGGTTGCACTTACAGGTGACAGGACAAGGGGCAATGGGCAGAAATTAAAACACCTGAAATTCCTTCTGAACACAAGAAAACACATCTTTTACTGTGAGAGCGGTCAAACACTTAACAGGTTGCCCACAGAGGTTGTGGAGTGTCCATTCCTGGAGATATTCAAAACCCAATTGCATACGGTCTTGGACAACCTGCTCTAGCTGACCCTGCTTGAGCAAGGACATTGGACTAAACGATGTCATGAGGTTCCTGCCAACCTAAAAGATTCAGTGATCAAAACTTCTCAAGGATACTTGTGAGGTACTTCCCTCCCTCTCAGTTTCATTACTGGTAATATGCATTGGATAACTAAACCACGCTAAGCTAAAGGTAGTTCTTCCATCAATTTTCTTAAAGCTCTCTTACGCTTCATGGAATAAAATCTGTTTTACAGATAATTAAATCATCATAAACCATCTTCTGCTACTTTTTTTTTCTGTTTGGATCGAAGGTCTCAAGCTTTGAACTTAATACCTTTTGAACTTATGAACTACGCAAAGTAATTGCTGGGAAAGTAACTTACAACATCATTGTCAAATCTAATGGAAATGAAAAGCAGTGCAATTCCCTAGAAGTTTTAAATTATTCCAACTCCATAAAAATGTAAGAATTAAATAAAAACCACAATGAAAGCTGAAAGATCAAGTGGTCAATGACAAGGACATTTCAAACATTCGGTTTGCTCTCCTAATACAAAGTGAATCTCTTGGTATGTCATTTGTTCTAGCTGCTGCAACCCTATTCTTCTTAAAGGACAATTTTGCAAAGAAAGCGCTGTATTATGAACATATTCCATATAATACAGGAGTACGTGCATCCCAGGCCTATTAAAACCCCCTAAAAATCCTCCATTTTGCAGTTTTATGAACCTGTGTTTGTGTAATTTAAGAATATTTAAGGTAATAAAAGTGCAAGGGAAAGGATATAAAGTTAAGATAGCATTGAAAATGCTTACAAATATATCTGAAATAGTAAACAATTACACAATGCACCATAAATAACTTCTCCTTCCCTTAATTAGCTCTCCAGTTTCCTTTGCAATGAGGTTACTCCTCTATTTTCAAACACAGTCGCCTCTGGCTATCACATTCTGCCACCAAACAACATTGTCACGGGCATTGCCTCTCTAGCCTCAGACAGCTAACTACTTCAGTACGGGAGAAACTATACATCTCTAGTCATATGCATTTTTAAAAGACTTGATGCAGCTGGCAAGATTTCTTATCTACATCTTCAAAATACAAAGAACAGAAGGAAAGAAATCACGGCAGCATCAGGTCACAATACAAGGAAAAACAAAGAATTTATCATTTTTCTGTGGAATGCTTCATATAAGGAAAAAAAGCACTGCATTTCTTTGCTAGCAAAATTTCAGGTCAGCTGGCATCTGATTTGCCTGCTAGATACGATATATCTATTTCTTCACGATACCTTCTCTGTAGTGGTAAGTTCTTAGGACATCGAAGACTTTGAAGATACTACTATACAGGCTAGAAACGTCTGTTTACTCATCACAGACTAATGAAGAGTCTCCATCAGAAAAATGCTTGAGAAGCTCCTAGAAAAATATAACTACTGCACTTTTTCTTTAGGCAACAAGTGTCACAGGGACCTGTCTGGTTCTAAAAGGTGGCTGAAGAGCTCTTTGGGAAGCAGAACTGAAGAACTTCCATAGGACTGCATAGCAAAGCTTCCTATCTGGACAGACCAACTCTGATGAAGCTGTGCACCTCTGAATCTTTCTCCTAAGATGACAAGCAGTTACAGAAGAAATTTCTGGTCCTGCACAATGAAAAAGACAAGGCTCCTTCAACAATGAACATGACAGATCACCTCAGTTATCAAAGACTGACAGAGATGAAAGCTGGGCATGACTTTAAGTAAAACTTGAGATAGATCTATTC